GAAATCTATTTGGCATGTCCTTAGCACCACCCTCACCTTGCAGGAGGACTACACGACAGCTCAGAGGACAGAAATATTATAAAGCGTGGTCGTGTAAGCAGGCTGTCTCTAAATTCAAATGTTTTAAAATATATTACCTACAGCTAGTTTATCTTTCAGTTTTTATGTCTTTTTTCCGCTTATATATTTAATTGTAATAAACATTTTTGGACTTCTGTCACCAAATGATAAAGTGAATTTAATTCGCAGTTCTGCTTGTAGTACTCAGCGGACCAGCTCCATGTTAATGGCCCTGCAGTGCCCATAAATTTGGTTTTTGGCATGTATGCATGTACATACCCAGCAGTTTCTTGTTTGCTATTGGATATGTGTGGAGTTCCTGCATGGATTTTTTTGTGTGTTTCTCTTCATTTCTCTCTCAAAAGACATGCGAGATCTATTCAAGAACAGGCGAGCAAAACAAAGCAAAATAAAAGAAGGAAAATGTGTTTATTTGGTAAGATATCCTGTGTGCTGTATGGCACCACTGTGTCACTCCACATGCTCTAAAGAAGTTGAGCAAAGAAGGAAAAGAAAAATGTTATACTAGTGCCAAAGCAAATACATCATCCAGTATACTATAGATCTGTCATTAACTTTCCTTTGGAGCTGTCAATTTTATTGACGTGTGCTATGGCCAATATAAGCAGGTGTCTGGCTCTAGCAGGACAGTATACATTTTACAAACTTGTTCAGAAAGGCTTTGACGTAGATGTCCAAAGCATGTAACAGAAAACTTGATTTAATCTCAGTCTAAATGTGTCTGACATTTGCACCATCGTCAGTGGTACATTTACATCATTTACAAGTGGAAAAAAAAATGTGTATATGAAAAAGTCAAAAAAAAATGCAAACACAGAATTAAACTCCTCGAACTTAGCTGAACTACATTTTAATTTTACAGCCTTCAGTTTTTACACTCTTTTCCTGTGTCCAGTTCCAAGTTTGTGTTCAAAGGGAAGGCTGTTAACTGTCCCCTCACCTCATGTGTTTAAGTTAAACGGCTGCCCTCTCTGAGCCTGCTTCTATCACAGATTTGTTCCTGTTACGTCTAAGATCAAATCATTTATCCTCTTTGAATGCAAACTCAAATAGAATCAATGGATTTCTTTCTAAAATAACATAAGGTCCTGTCCTGACATGACTTGCAATTTTTCGCCACAGCGGACTCTTAGGTGATATGATTATTGTGGCTAAAGTATTGTAAGATGGCACAGTAAGCATTCTTTCCAACGTACTGAACCTGAAGGCTGTGTTAGTATTAGTTAGGGGCCAGGATTAGGGGAATATGTGCCCCTGCCATGCGGCCTATGTATGACAAGATCTGTTTGCACTTTGCTGTCAAAACATCTTATGTATGAAACCAGGGTCTGTTCCAGGAAGCAGGCTTAACAAACTCTGAGCCTAAGCCCAAACTTTTGAGTTGATTAACCCTGAGTTGGGAAACCTTTGGTCCTAAAACAGATCAGAACTACGCAGAGTTAGCACAGTCAGCTCTTGAGTTAATGTGTGAGTTAGTGTGTAATGGGAGAGAAAACATGGCCATAATTCAGCATGGTATCTGAGCTTACATTTTTATCTAGTACAACCGCAAATTAAAATGATTGCATCCCAGTTTTAATGGATCATAAAGCTAGAATATTGCAGTTTATTAGATTAGAGGTTTAAATCTACTTGTTCATCTGAAACCTGACAGGGACATACTACAGGTGACAGCAGCTAAATATAAAATATTGATCAAACTGATTAGACTGTTTACTTCTTCACCTGTGATTCAGTTACTTGGAATTATAATGTCATAGTTAAAAAGACTTGCGCTGTATGTTATATTAAAAATCGTGACTACCAGCATTTAATCACTATGTTTTAAAGTATGTAAATTATTAACAGAATATTCTGCGACATTATCTATCTTGTCCTTACAGTGATGACAGAAATGTCATAAAAGAGCTCATGTTGAATATATTTATTGGGTTTTCTGCTAATGTCTAACCTGGTTTCAAATAATGTGTGCTTTGATAGTAACTGTGAGTGAGAAAATAAGGAGTCACAGAGAAAGCCAGAGTATGCATTATCTGGGCTAAAGAGGACTATGACCATCTGATTTGTTCCTATTGTTACTGTCTTGGATTAATGCAGTAATAAAAACAGTAGTTTTTCCCTGATTGATCACATGCCAGCTGGCTCAAAAACCTAAAACTGCAAAGACTAGCAGTGGTGTGCTTTTACCAAATAAAGTGTGCCTAGCTGACCTTGTCTTAAAAGGCATTTGACATAAGAAACACGACTGCAGCGTGTGGTTGTCAACATTGATACACACTCTTCCACATTTTAGTTCAGTACAGGAAAGTGAGCGATGACGAAGACAGTCCAGCTGCTTTGTTGTCTCTCATTAGCACATACATACACAATGACGTCATCCTTGCTGATGTGCTTAGACACACACAAATACAGAGCAGCCCCCTCTCATGTATCCATTATATCCTTTTCACGTTCCACATTACTCTTGTTATGTTGCCCTGTCACAAAGGCCTTCACCCATCAAGAGTCCTTCAAAAACAACTGATGAATGGTCACGCTACCAGGATGATGCCTCCATGGGTGGCCCTATCTGATCAACATGCTCTGACATGGGGCCCTTTGCCTTCCAAACCACAGAGTGGAAAATTTAATTGACACAGCAGACTGTCCGCGTATCACCTTCTGTGCTTCATTCTGTAAATGTCCATTCCCCTTAAAAACTGCTCACATGTATCACATATGTTTTTTGTTTGTTTTTTAAAAATAAAATCGCGTAATGTCAGGGAAATGTGGTGATTAATTATTTTGATCAAACATGTGACAAGGTTATTTATTTTATTTTCCACTTGCTTTCTAAGTTTAGAGACATACAAACTGACCCAATGTACAGCATTCAGTTTAAATGCACTTCTGAGACAAAATCATTGCAGAGAGAAACCCGTTTTCTTTCTTTGTTTTGTTGTGGTCTTGCTGGCAACTTTACCGTAGAACAAACAAAATTCTGCTTTCCACTTTAATATACCTCAAAATTATCTGGCTGCCTGTGATAATAAAAAATGTTTAATGTACAAACCGAGTAAAATATGTATATATATTTAATTAATTTTAATTTAAATGGAAATAGTTAGTATTGCTAATATTCACATATATTAATTTTTAAATTATTATACTGTGATGTGGATGAACTTACTACCTTTTGTCAATTATATTTGACATTGTTTTTGCCAACCCTGTGGTATATAATGAAAAAGCTTGAATATACTGAAACACTCTGTGATAAATCTGAAAAACAGCCAGCACTGAGAATACAGATAGTCTGATTGAAAATGGAGAATCACTAAACAGCACACACATAGTTTATAGATAATAAGAGTGCAAAGTCTGCTGAACTTAATGTATAGTGTGACCTTGAGTGTAGTATATTACAGAGTTCTGGGCTTCAGTCTCTAACAATCTTAAGTACATGCTGCGTTCCCAGTCATGGCGCCAATAAGCTCATGAGAGCAACACACACTTAACCATGCAGCCTGTAACAACCCCCTAATCTCTACAGCAGCTCAGCCTGAGGTATGAGATATACTGTTCCTTTAATGTGTGTGTGCACTTTGGTGCATATGTAAGTGTATGTCTGTGTGCATGCTCGTGCTCATACAGTTGCACAGAAAAGTGTTGGGCATATGCTTGTGTATTGAGGCCACTGCTCTTTTCCCTTTATGCCAGGCCTGACTCTTAATTCTGCAGCCAGCACATACAGGCACGTACACACACTTAGAAAAATACACATCAATCTTCTGGAGCAGTCAGTCATCTATTGCAGCTTCAACTATTGTCCACTTGCACTGGTATGTCTGCATTCACGTATATTTGAATGCTAAAGAGGGAGAGAAGTGGGAGACCAAAAAAGAGACAGCCAATCAGCTGAAAGACATTTGGAGGTCCATAGAATGCCATGCAGTGAGTTCATTGAGTTCACATGTTTGAACCCAGCATACCTGCAAAAATGCAAGGTGGCCTTATCGCTCTTTTGTCCTGTTGTATGATGCAAAGCTCCATACAGCTCTAGGCATGTTCTCTGTTGCATTTCAGAATGAAGGAAAAGCTGAAAGCATAAGCGGTGATCGCCAGTCGAAAGTAGGTTATCGATACTGCTGAAGACTGCCCAGAGCACTTTTAAATTGATTCTTTGAAACCGTATCATAGAAAGTGAGATTAACTTGAAAAAAAAGCATATGAAAGGTCTCATCTGCTCATTGAACAAAACTGAGTTTCCACATAGTTTCTTATTGATTCATTGGTTTGTCCCATCGCTCTGTTTTTAATTTTATTTTCTCTCCTTCCTGCTCTGTCCTTCTTTCCTGTTTGTTTCTTCTTTAAAACATCCTCTCGATCCAGTTGCAATTTATTATTCAGTTTTCAGCTCCAGCTTCTGTCGTTGTGAAAAACACAAAACAATATTTCAGTCATGAACATCCACTGATATTTCTGTTAAAGCACTGACCTGAAAATCACAATCTGACTTTCATGTCTCTTTTGGAAGTCATCACTGGCTTGGCAGTAAGTAAATCAGCAGTATAACAGCATTGCATTTGAATAATTGTTGATTTACCAGTTGAATAACTAAGAAATACCATAGTGAAGTACATATATTGTACTCGTAATATGCCACTGCATCATATCGACTGTATTTACGCCGGGCCCTATATGTCTTGTTGGAGAATAATTTAAAAGGAATGTTGGCACTCTGATGGATTTAAAAACCTGTACGCCTGCCAGAACTCCACTTGATTTAATTAGTCTGTAGGAAACTCTACTTGAGGCTTGGCAGACTGAATTTACAGGCTAATTTATGGTTAAACCACACACAGACACACACATATGCACAAGGTGCTCATGTAAATTAACTTTGTACTGTCTGCCTCCTTTTCCTTCAATTTTATCAGATGAGCCAGCAGAGGAAAAGAAAGGCTCCAGCTCCTCCTCCCACTCCAACATCCATCACGCAAGGCTCTGATGACACTTCAGCCTCTCCAGCTCCCACTCCTGACAGTCAAGCTCCTGATAAACCTATGCCGGCATCCCGCATCAAGGTGGCACATTCGACCACAGCCTCAGCTGCCACTGTGATAAAACTAACAGAAAAAACAGCCTCGCATAAAATAGCAGTAGATCCTGTGTCCAATGCCATGCCAACCTCCAGCTCCCCAACCCCGAGCAGCAGCACTACTGACAGCCTTGCCGTGCAGGATTCCAGCTCTGAACTAAGCCAGGGTCTTGATGATTCAGATGCTGACCTAGAGCAGGCTGAATCCCATTACAGCTACAGTAGCAGAAGCACAACAAGTGGGTCCGTGCGGGTCCAACCTGCTGCGAAAAACTCCAGCGGCAGAGTGGAAGATTCAGTCAGCAGCGCGGCCGGCAAAATAGCTCAAGACAGGACGTCAGAGAATAACTCCATGTCGGAGACTGAGTCCGCCCTGAACCTGAAGCTGGATGAGGCTGAGAACAATAGGCACAGCGGAATGGGTAAATATCTATAAAATGGCCTTACAGCAAGCGTACAACACAGCAGCAAACATTTAAAGACTTCCCTTCATAAATTCACACACTAAAGCAACAAAAGTTACGCAGAAAAGACACATAAATTGTTTAGCAGCAGGTAAAAAAAATAAGATAATTATAGGCATACAAGGGAAACTTTGAGATCTACCTATTCTCAGACACAACTACTGCATATATATGCTTTGTATTCATATCTCTGTCTGTCTTAAAAAAAGAGCATATCATGATTCCACTGGCAGAAAAAGTGAGCTTTGCCATTGTTCATTGAACTCTTGACAGTGACTGTAAACACACTTTCTATATGCTGAAGAAGTGAGAGGTGAGTCAGAAGTTGCCTGTAGAGATTTCTACGTGTTAGAAGCGACTGAATATCTGCTCGAGAGAGCTCAGCTGTCACACTGCAGCAACATCTGAAAGTGTCACGAATGACATGCATAACCTGCTGAAGGAAAGTGTGTGTATGTGTGCGTGCGTGCGTGCATGTCATGGCTGAAGGACAGGAACTCGTGGAGCTGGTTTTCATCATCGCCCATGAGACAATACAGTCCTTGTTTCTCCCTTAAACTTATCAGCCTCTTACAGTACATTCTTCTGTCTTTTTTCACCCCCCTCCCTCCCTTTTTTTGTTACACTCATTTTTTTTATATTCCTCTCTTTCTTTCTCTCTATCTCTCTTATGCCTGCACCCACTCGCTCAAACCTTTAAAGCTGGCAGATACAAAGGCAGACAGATCCATCACAGATTTAAGCAGGATCTACTTGAACTTTAGCTGGCCTCATATTGATCTTTATATAACCCAAATCTTTCTCCACAGCAAAGCGAGATTGCGGCAGAGGGTTGTCGTGTCTGACAGGGGCATAGATGAGAGAGCTGTAGACCTCAAAAGGGATGAGAAAGGTGAGAGTATCAGAATGAAGTTGAGAGAGTGGAGCATGGGAAGGTTTTGACAGAGGTTTTGACAGAGGGTGGCAGGCAGAGGCAGGGGGACTAGAGGAGTTTAAGGAGAGAAGGGTGATGGACAGGCGGATGAAAGCAAGAGAAAGGATGAAGTATGAGGAGGTTAGTGCATTAGACAGTTCAGAAGACGCAGCACGAAGGTCATTAATAAATTTATAGACCTAGCTACTTTCTTTTTCTCTTATCCTGACGCTCTGCTGACAGTGCACCACCTTCTCGCCTCTCTTTTGCTTCGACTTTTGCTATTTTCAGTCTTTCTTCTGTATCTTCAAACTATATAAGAAACTATTCGCTGAGTTAAGATGTGTGTCTGTGTATTTGTGCTGAAATGGTTATACTCCAAAAACTACATTCCTTCAAGTAGTCCCTTTTCACCCTTTAAACTTTTCACCCACAGTGACTGTTAAAAAATGTTTTCTGCCTGACAACTGAACTGGTTATACATGAACAAGTACAAACTTGTGTGAATAGCTTACATATATGTTAGGTAAACAGCATCACCCTACACATGACCAGAGATGGGCAGTAACGCGTTACTGTAATCTGATTACTTTTTTCAAGTAACGAGTAAAGTAAGGGATTACTATTGCAAAAACGGTAATTAGATTACCGTTACTTTCCCGTAGGAACGCTGCGTTACTGCGTTACTAAAACCGTGATTTTTTGCGAGAATGTCTCACGACAGTGACGTAAGCGAGTGCGCCGTTAGTGACAACAGCTGTGTGCAGATCAACAATGGATCACATATCGATTGTGGGAGAGAGTATGAGCGTGCAGCGTTTAAAGCGTGGAAGTACTGACCTTACTTTGAGTTTGATTCCATAAAAAGTGACAAAAACATAGCCCCTAAACTTCCAAGCAAGCACCGAGTGCGCAACAACGTAATGGGAAACTCACAGAGAAACTCGCGGATTCTTCAACTGACCGCGGCACACCTGCACCAGGGTAAACCTCCGCCTACCTCCTGCTTTACAGGTGAAAATAGAGCAACAGGACCGCTGAGTCTTTGACTTTATTTATTTTCTGCTGTGTTTTACTTGCATCTATTTGAAAGAGTGAGTGTAAACACAAAAAAATATTATTTTATGTGCTGGAATGTGCAGAAAATAGGTTTAAATGTTAAACAAATTTCTTCCAGTCAGAGAATGTTGCATATAATTAAATTTTTGCTTGATGCATAAAGTTAAAAGATTAAAATAAAACAAGTTAAAAAAAGAGACTTTTCCATTTGATTACATTTTGTATGATGGATTATGCAGAAAAAGTAGAATTGGGCTGAAAGATCTATCGCTTTATCACCTATTCAGGTTGTAAATCGTGTTTTTAAAAAGTAACTAAGTAATTAATTACTTTTGAAAATAAGTAATCAGTAAAGTAACGGGATTACTTTTTTGGGGAAGTAATCAGTAATTAGTTACTGATTACTTTTTTCAAGTAACTTGACCAACACTGCACATGACGAATAGAGTGGTTCACTCATGCCTGAAAATGCAGAGATTTGCCATCTGAAGGGTTTTAATTACTCTGTTTTTCATTATTCCTTAATGTATGTATGATTTTTTTGAGCCTGTCATTTAATGTGTATATGTGTATGAGTGTGCGCTCCAGTGGTTCTCAAGGTTATAACTGGGTAGTTTATCATCCCAGCCCTGCCTGTTATTTCGGTACCATCCAACTGTCAACAACAGAGTAAACAGAAAACATAGAAAGTTGACGAATCACAAGCTTTATAAGTAAATTTAGGCAGCTGGATTTCAGCACAGCTTTTCCCCATTATTGTGCTTTTATTCCTATTACTTTTTCAGATGCTTCGTATGTATCATTTGCAGTCGACTCCAGACTTCCTTTCTTACTGCTTAAAAGCTGTTTGTGCTTTCAGTAATGATCCTGTAAACAGTTCAACAAAGCTTTGCATTTGTCTTTTCTGGACATCTAGTTTCAAAGGTGTTTACTCATAGCTATAACAAGTAAAACTGCAGTCTTAACTAACATATGTTAAAATGTTTTAATTTACTATGTCATAACAGCTCTGCTTCCTAGAGATGTTATATAGCTTATTTATATTGTTAATTATTGATGCCTCTCATTGTAAATTACCACAGATGCAATACTAGACCAGGTCTAATCTGTAAATTTGATATCTGAAGTTTTGATATTATTGGGACTTCCAGGTTAAATAAAGGTCAGCAAAATAAATGAATAAAAAGCTAACTCTTTCCTATAACTCAGTGATAGACATAACCTGTGGCTAGTGAGCCTCTAATGGCAAACATAGTGATTTAGAAAATATAATAATTGGCAATTTAGAACAACAGCAGAAAAAAATCTGAATTCTAGTTACCAGATTCATGAATAATCTTTATGACATAGAGTCTCACCAAACCTTCTGGTTTACATCGTCTAGCCCTCCGACCCCAGCAGCAAGAGGTCTAGGCAGCGTTGCACATACCTCTTCAGTGAAGTATGTGAAAATCCCCTATATGTAAATGGAGTCAATAAAATATGTATAAAAACTATTTATTGTATCATTAAAAGTTGAGGGGATCCTCAAACACCCCCCTCCTCCTTCAAAACCCGCCCCTGGTTCACATGCCCATGATCTACCATTGTGCACTTGTCACAGAGTTGCCCAAATAAAATATGGACGTCATGGGTCCATATTTTATGGATTGTCATGAGAACTTAAAGCGCTAAAGAAGCAACTGTTTCCACAAATAAATGTAGTTTTCTTTACAACTTCCAGTTCAATGAGAAGTTTCAATATAACTTGTTAAGTCACTTTCCCCATTTTTGAAGTATGACCATCAGTGCTTGCCCTGCCCGCATGCTGTTTTTCCTTTAGGAAACACTCATCGTCTGGTGCCACCCAAACCTCTCCGTTCTCCCGTGCAGGAGCCATCACAGCATGTATCACCCTCTACTCCTCCCTCGACACCCCCTCCCCCTGAGCCTACAGAGAGCAACTCTCCGCAGAATCTCACGGAGGTGGAGGAAGCTCCCCAGTGTAGGTTCCACATGGACTGCCCTCCCCCTAACCTCGATTCTTGTTTTCTCTTGTCTTTCCTAAAAGCTGCCAATCAGGTTTTCCAGCTCTTAATTCGTTTTCACCCAGTCACAGTTTGTATCTGGCTTAACTGCCAAACCTTGATGTTTGTGTTTCTATGGCAGTCCTGAACTCTTTCCTTTCATGTTTTCCATCTCTCCTTCAGTGACCTGGGCAGCAGAGTTGTTAAGTGATGCTGGGTCCAAATGAGGTCAGGGGGCTTCATATATATATATAAACGTCAATCTCTAAGCTTTGATATTTTCCCTGGGTCCAAAGGGTCAGGTCTAAGGTCAACAGCAATCTTCTTGAGTACCTTTCATGTTGCATTTAAACAGGACGTGGGAGTAAATTAGATGTATAATTGACGAGAATTTTGAGTGACGCTGAACTGTTTTTAATGCCACCTTCTGTCCCTGTAGGTGCTCCCTATATGTTTTGGTTTTTCTTTTAATGCTCCTTACCTTACCAAATACAAATTTAATGATCTACTCATCTCAAATCTCATCTGTTCTCTTCTTTCCTCCCCCACCCCTCACCCTCCTGTGTAGTGTACTGCTGCGGGCCTGTGCGTCTTCGTTCCAAACACTCCTGAAGTCTCTCTCTCTCCCTCTCTCTCTCTGGCTCGATCCTTCCTTCACTCCGACAGTCCTTTTTCATCAGCTCCCTTTGGTTCTCCATGGCCTCGCTTATTTCTGCTGGACTTTTCTTTGATAATCACCATCCTCCTCTCATCCCTTTGATGTCTACTTCTGCTGTTCTCTGCTGTCTTGTATTTGGTGTTACAGTCTCACGTTTGAGTACCATTTCATTTGCATAACTTGCCTTTACAGAATCCATTCTCACTGCATATAACCTTGTGACAAAAGTGAAAGCAAGTTGGAAAAAGTTTTGCTCTTTAAAAAAAAGCTTGTTTTTTTTGTACTGTTTGTATTGTTTTTATCCTTTTTACAAATGTTTGTACATATTCTGCATGGTTTTTACTTCACATTGATCCACTGGTTGTCAGCGTTGAGAGTTGAGTTAAAAGTGGACACAGAATGTGGTCAGAAGGCAGCGGTGCTAGGTCATGTGATTTCAGCCAATATTTCGGTGATGTGATAGCTGCAGATCGATTGCAGGACAGTGTACGTCGCTCTGTCTTTGCCTGGTATTGTGGCTTGGTTTAGAAACATAAAACCCGAACGCGTGCTGACTTTAGCAAAAGTATGGAAAGAGTGATGTATCGATGACATGTTACTTTTAGGTGGTAATGGCTCTTAAATTTCATAAAGACAAGCATATGAAATACAAGACCTCTCTCCAAAGAAAGCTTTTAACAGTCTACTTCAAAATTAACAAGACACTGTGAACTGGAGGCAGCTTGTAGCTCAGTTAATGCTTCACGGTTTGTTTTTGAAGGATTGCATTAACTGTAGAATTAGGAATTTTATTTAGGATGAAAAACCACAAGAAATCTGAGCTTTAAAAAACTGTTTCATAGAAAGAACTTGTGTACAGTTACGAGCGGTGTAATAGAAAACATCCTGCATGCTAAAGTACAGTTTTTTGTGTTATCTTTGTTTTTATTAAGCAATTCTCTATTGTATGAATGCAACATTTGTGGTATTGAAGTGTATTATGCGGTGAAGACGAATTTTACTTTTTTGAGATGAGGACAGTTTTAGACAGCAATGTACAGGCCTGAACTGATTACATTTTAATTGTACGGTAATTTAATTTTCTTTCTGATGACATTTTTAGAACTCTGAATCTTCCAAGCCTTTGAAATATGGTGCATATGCGTAGCCTATTTCAGGGGATGTATAATTTAAATTAAGTACTTTTTGAACCTGCAAAGGATTGATCATCGATTTCTTTTTTTTCTTTTTCCTGTTTTGGGGTGATTGAAAAAAATAATATGTTTACAAGAAATAGTTGATTAAACTTTTCAAGACTGCCCCAAGATTCCAGGACACTGATTTAGCACTGTGCATGGAATGTAGTGGCATGTCACAGTATTAACAGCTTGGGAATGGAGACACCCTTAGTTTAGCTCTAACAGACAATTTTGCCCAAGGTCATGTTGAGTTGGAAGTTTGTCTGTTTGTGTGTGTGTGCTTGTCTGCAAGCGTATACATATGCAAGCATAAATCTGTGTGTGCATATGTGCACTTGTCTTTGCACGTCTCTGTGGATGTGTGCCGATTGTGGCTGTTGCCAGCATGACTAAGCTGTTGCTGGGAAGGAGCTGGGGGGACAGCCCTGTGAGTCATCACCACATCTCCTGGAACGGACTGTTCTCTCCACACCAGTAGGAGCAGACCCAAAACTGACAGTCCTAGTACACTGCAACACACATTATATTGCAGTGCAGTGCATGACCAAATGCATGCACAATCTTATTGACAACTGGTATTACAAACAGAGTCATTCATTGTTAAATTCATTTTAAAAAAAGTTCACTGCTAAATAGCCAGCGCTGTGCTTGCTCGTTGATCTAATAAAAAGCAAACAAGTGGTACATTGATTTTTATTCTTCTGGCCTTGAGTTCAGTGAGATCAGTGATGGAGTAAATAACTTCCCCAAACCCACATGACTGACCAGAACATGAGTGTACTAAAAAATGAGAGGGTATAAGCAATGCTAGGTTTCCCTCAAATCTAAAACTGTACAGTGAAAATCTAATCAACAGAGTTTGAATACAGTAAATCTACCCACACATCATTAAAGATGGTTTATCAAGCCACAAGTGGTGGTTCTTCAGTCTTGCTTTTAACATATTTGGCTTATGTTTTTTGGCTTGGGTGCATGTGTATCTGTGTGTGGGTGTGTCTGGGTGTGTGTTTGATGTCAGAATGAAATCTTGAAACTAAACTAAATACTTACCCGGTTTTTTTCCCTCCATGTTTACCGTCTCTTGATCTTCATGCCTGTTCTGTAGCTTGTGCTTTTTTTTTGTTCTTGTTTTTGTTCCTCTCACTTAGAAGGTTTTAGCCATCATTAATCTTCTAAGTTTTGTTGATCAGAGAAACAATAATGCACTTCCTAATTAAAACACTTGTGGCCTTACTGTTCTGTAATCTAATATTTCTTGACTGCGATAACAGTCAGTCCCAATGCTAAGATTTTCTGTTCTCTCCCAGCTTGGCTCCATTCTGTTAAGAACTCTGCAGTCAGTGACCAGAAACCAGAAACTGAAGCACCTCTGGCCGAGACTCTGTCTTTGGGCAGCAGCAGTGCCGGCAGCAGCCTGCATGACCAGGGTTACGCTGCCTCTGAAGGTATGGCAGAGGGCGAGGACTCGGGCATGATCAGTTCTCCCTCTGACACCCAACCCACTTCCCCCGATGGGAGCGTGTCTCTGGATGGAAGTAGTGGGTGGAAACCGGCAGGGCCAGTGCGAGATAGTTCCAGTGAGAGCGATGAGGGATGTGCCACCTGGGGATCAGTACACAGGTAGAAAACGGAACCAAGAAAGTGGGTTGGGCAGTTTAAATGAGACTCACAACAAAATTATTTCTCATATTTGCATATAAAGAATTTGACTAAAGTTATATTCAAGATGGTGGGACTAATTAAGAAATCTACATTAACTTCATTTATCTACCTGACTTCTTTCCCATACTTACTAATCTTATTGTCAATATTAGCTCATCTTCTCTAATCCACTGAGCTGTCCATTTAAGCTAGCCTAACTGCTATTACAACAAACTGTCACAGTTTTATCCAACTTGATTTTAACAAAGTTGATATTTGTTATTGAGCCAGCAGTAAAAATCAAGAGCAGTTCCTACCATAGTATATTTGAGTCAGCTTTGCATTCTGGGCTTTTATAGTTATGGTTTTAGGCCCTTAATCAAAGGTCTGTGAAAAATCAATGCTGCTCCAGATCCCTTTTCACATTTTAAGTTGTTTTGAAAAGCATACGCTCATTTACCCAGACCAGGGATCTTGGATTGATGCCCCTACTCAGAGAAATTTTATGAATCCAGGTTCTGGCCTGATGTTGCCAGCTCTTCATTATTCCAGGAAACCACTATAACCCAGTTTTCTCAGAATTATTGAGGAAAAGAGGACCCGTCCAAGTCTCTTAGAAGATAAATTCTATTTGGGTTGGCCTTCTTGATGCAATTTGTTATGGCTAATATGCCACTAACCCATGAGAATTCTCTGTTGAACCACTGAAGAGAGTGCAGGAAGTTTGAACTGTGGTATTAATATCGTAACAGCTGCGTGTTTCAAAGCCAGCAGACTCCAGTGAAAATAAAATGTGACTTTAAACACTTATTAAAGTCTACACATATTTTTCTTTCCTCTACTTCTGAACTGCCTTTACCCTTTTGATTTCTTAGGCAGATTACTTAAGCAAAGGGTGCTGAATATAACAGCATCACTAAAGTAATGGGTTTTACTATATAGTCTTTTCAGTAGTGACTTTTTTTTATAAACGATAAGGGTCTCTACGTGATTATATTTACATGTGTATGTAATATACATGATGATGACTTCTTTTTATGTACCCTTCTCAGGCACAAAGACATCAGCCCTCAGTCGCAGTCAGTGATTTTGAAAAACAACTTTGAAGATGATCCAAAGCTCGCAGCCGAGCTCCATCAGACTTTGGCTGATTTTGAAGCAGACCTTGCAGGTAAAAGGGGCAAAAATATAAGCTACACTGAATAGAAATGTCTTCACTGAGATGTATACATCCAGCACTGAAACTGAAAAACAATTCCTAAAGGGTTTAACCTGTTGATCATCATAACACTACTGTAGCTGGATCAACTGAAGTAATCCTGTAAATGTTCTATACAACATAAAACACAACACTTCATGATACTCCACATGAAGCGACTTTTCCACACTAAGTGGATTACCTATTAAGACCTGGATCTGTCACTCTTTTGCAGACCATGAAGATGTAGTCTCAGCAAAAGAGGCTCCTTATACCATGTCTAGTGACAGTAATGAGGTTCCAGTGTCTGTAGTGGACTTGGATGTGCCAGTTACAGCCATAGATGAAGTACTGGAGGACTATGATCATAATATTATTGAACATGAGGTGAAGTCATTTACCAGGAAGGAGTCAGCTGGCAGCAAAGGTAGGAAAAACAACCAGTGCATCAGATTTAAAATGGTTTGCTTTTCTGTATTATGTTTACTACAATTTTTCTTCCCTTATCTTATCACAGAACATGGCTTTTGTCACAAGTCCAGAATGGAGCCCGAGAACAAAAACAACAATGCTTATACAGAAGCAGTCAATAATAAAAGAAACCATACAAATACTAAGGGTTTGTCTCAATCTGAGCAGCACACTAAACCAGCGGAGAGCAAGTCTGTGTGTGACAGAAAGGAAAAAAAGATAAAGGAGAAAAAAATTAAAGAGATGAATCTCGTCGATAGCAACAGCGTGAAAGGAGATAAGCAAATATCGGCTGTTAAATCTAATGATGACGTGCACGAAAACATGGAGAGCGCTGAGATACTGCCTGACCCTGTGAGATATAATGCTGAGTCTTTTGAGAAGAAGAAACCGGATTTTCCACCAGCAAGTCAGAAACTAGTATCTATGGAAAAAGATGAACAGACGCATAGGGTTTTCCCTACTTCACATAATAAAATTACTCGCAACGTCACATCACGATTTGGTATGAAAACCTTCACTGTGATCCCTCCCAAGCCCTCTGTTATAAACACTGCTAAAGAACAGTCAGGTGTTCGATTTACCATTGGTGCCATTAAGATCGACGATCAGGGAAACATGGTGAAAGAGGGTATCTCCAGGAATAATGTTAGTAGGTCTTCAGAGTCACAGATCAATTCTGATGAGGGTTCTCCTCTTCTTGGGAAGGCCAAAGCTTTTTGGAGCTCAAATGAAAGACAAGACACTCCTGTGAACCCCAGCAAAGATAAAGCTGAGGAGAGCAAAAACAAACTGAAAAGTGCTTCTACAGCAGTCACAGAAACTACACTGAAGACCAGTAACACAGAGTACCTGAAATCAACACAGAGTACAGTTTCTAAACCTCCAGAGAGAATCCAACCTAAAGAGGTGGTGAAAGAAGAAACTAAAGAGCCTATAAGGAATGTCAAAGTTCCAGACAAAGGCTGTGTTGAGGTGGGGAGCAAAAGTTCAGTACCCAAAAATGTTCAGCCCCCAGCTGACAAACCTACCATTCCTCCTTCAATACTTCCAGACTTGTCCTTCCTCAGACCGCCCAGGCGAACCTCAAGCCAATATGTAGCGTCTGCCATCGCTAAACACCCCCCAAAGACCTTAGCGAAACCCAGCTATGTCCCTAACAGCCCTGAATGCTCTGCTTCCCTGAAGACACCGACTACTGACCTCCAGAAATCAGGTCGATCGATGCAAGTTAATCCGCGACAATCTTCCCTGTCGTCTTTGTTACAGAATAAGGAGAATAGCTCTAATTCTGCAGTCAGGTATCCTGGTCCTCAAAGATCTACAAGCTACCCAGAGTATATGTCAGATCAACAGAAAGATTTTAGAGAAGCAAACAGGGGTGGATTTGAAAATGGTGTTGTAGCCACCAAAAGAAGTTCTGATATGTTGGAAACCAAACCAGCCAAGAATAATCACGCTGAGTTGAGTGGATCCACCAACATAAAAGTAACTGCCAATGACCAAGATAATGTCAAACATCAGCTTGGAGGTCCGAGCCCAGCAAAAAGCAATGCCCTAAACTCATTTATCAAACCACCAACAGCCCCAAAGACCATATCTCAAGGACAGACAAACGTAAGTTTAACCTGGATTATACTGTTAATATTACAACATACGAATCTTGAAAATATACTATAAATAATTGTTTTTATAATTCACAGAACTCAGAGGAGACAGCTTCAAAATCTCAACTGCCTGAAACAGTGTCAGACAGCAGTGTGACGGTGTTTGGGCCAATTAAAAAGTTCAGACCAGTGATCCATAAATCTGTTGAGAAAGAGACGTCTCTGCACAGCAGTCTGATGGAGGCAATCCAGACAGGTGGAGGCAAAGACAGGCTGAAGAAAGTGAGCTCAAGATAAAATGATTTGTAGGATAGCGTTTTGCCCATCTATCTGGTTTCATATGTTCATCTAAACAAGCTAGGTAATAATGTTGGCTGATTTTCTCCTTTTTTATTGCCTTGTTAGATATCAACTTCTGGCCCCAGCTCCTTAAAGAAAGGGCCTTATGTTGAAGAGGAGAATGAGAGGTCTGCTCTTTTGGCTGCCATTAGAGCCCAGAATAACACCGGCAGGCTGAAGAAGGTAAAATATTATCCTAACAGCTAAGAAGTATCATTGATCTCTATATGCTGATATCCAGGGTGGAAGTAAGAGGGATGTGATCTAAAACATACAAGTATGAGTTATTATTTTAACATTTATGCATGTATAAAAAAACACTTCCTTATAAATATATAAAATGCTGTTCTTTTTAGCATGTAGTTACAATGCTTCTCACCATTTGGATGCAGATTAAAATGTATCCAGTATACAGTTATTTAATATCCGCAGAGCATAACTCCTAATATTATCTATACCCTGTGATTTCTGAGTGCCATTTGCAGGTCAAATATCCTGTATGTACTTAATAAACATCAGCATGTTTGAACTGTTGTTGTGAGCATGTTGCTATGCCAAATGTAATACATAGCAAAGCTGATAATATCATTTTATGGTGTACGCATATGGTTTTACACAGTACGAGCATGTGTACCCGTTACATTTACAGTCAAGAAGAGCTTAAATTAGAATGTAAATGCTAAACACTTTGTCTCGTGTTATTAGTTCATTAGCAGCTTACACTGCAATGCAGGTTATGCTAGCACATGTGTCTATTTTCATCCACCCTTTTGGAAAGCGTTCTGTGGTTTGCTCACATTTGCGTACCAGAGTGGAATGAAAGAGGCAGAAAATGTGTTACTGCTGCTGAAACATCTGTGGCTCTATTCTGGAGGTTCCCTGCCAGATCTGGAATCTCTGGAATGCTGTATGACTTAGTCAGAAAACAAAACTGTTGTACTTCTTTGAAAAGGAGGGTAAACAGACTGAATATGTATATTAAATGGACTTATAAAATAAGTAATGAGTGCTCATATAAATTTGAATGTCTCTAACAAAAAAATAGAAAAGGCTTTGTTTGTCTTTCTAGCTATGCATCAGGTGTATCAGGAGTGTGTGTCAGAGACTCATATGGGAGCAGCTGTCCTTCCATATGGTTACATGTCTACAGTTACCATTGTCTCACCGCTCTGTGTGACAGGTCAAATCTGCAGCTGCCCATGAGCTTGAGAAATTCAGAAAGTTGGCATCTGAAGAAGAGAGAAGCAGTCCAAGCTCTCCCTCTTCCCCCGAGAATTTGACCTGCACCTCTCCTCTCTTTACGCACCCACCACCTCCACCACCACCGACGATTGCACCGCCACCTCCTGCCCCTGTCTTGCCCCAGGGTAAAACTAGCTCTGTGCCACATTCGAATGCGAACGCCCCCAGGAACCCTGCTCTAGCCAGGGAGGCTATGCTGGAGGCAATTCGCTCTGGATCTGCGGCTGAGAGGCTCAAAAAGGTAAAACTATTAAAAATATATAGAGAAGTTTACAACTATGAACAACCTTTGTTTGCTTTATATTAGCAGCAGTTTCGTGAAAAACATCTTTGGTCTGGTTTCACACAGCTTCCCTTGCTGGAAGACATCACCGGCACTACAAAGATCTCCTGCGGTCTAGTAGCCAGGAAACTGGAAATGAGTTGCAGATTGTAACACGTACAAAGATAAATCTGACAGCCATACTGTACTGCTCCATGAGTATTTTCGAGGGGATAAAGTTCAATTTTAGGTCAGCAGCTATGGAAAAATAAGACTTCTGAAACTTTTGAATTGTTATTTTTGCCCTGTTTATACCAGAAAGGAACAATAGTAGCAGCTGAATAGCATCAAGAGGGCGAAAAATCAAAGAACTCCCAATCACATTTTGTTTTGTTGCCTCAAACTGTTGCTCCTGTCATTATCACAGTGGAGAAATAAAATGACATGTTCAATTTCTTTCAACTAGGTCGCAGTTCCCAAGAAGACGGTTCAAGTGAACGGCAAACTGGGAACGATCCAAGCGAGCTCCTCAACAATCCCTGAGCAGTAAGAGGGGGAGCCGGCATCACCACAACAAGAAATAATAGATTAGTTTCTGTGTTTTGCCATAGTGCTTTTACAGCAGGTGTTTGGGGAAAAACAGTTTGAGTTGCATTTTCAGTGAATGCTGTCTGATATATTTTTTTGCACTGCAGAAATTGTGAAAAATCAAGTAAAAATAAATAATTCAGAATAAGATTCACACCTCTCACTACTAATATTGGGCCTCATTCGTACATTGGTGTAGTTCTAAAAGGAACAGCAAAGCGGGGATGTAATTACTTATGAATGAGGAAGGATTTAAACATTTCTTCTAGCAAGAAGAACCTCACTGTGTTAGTAGCCAAACACCTGCAAAATCTGTCTAACAAAGGGTGCGATAGGTGAAAGGTTTGCAGTTTATGTTCCGCTTTGACAAACAGTAGCTTGCTGGGAAATGTTCCTTTCCACCTTTGTAACGTATTGCTGTTCGTAAATACATCCGCTGCCATCCACCCTTGAATTCACAAGGCGCAACTAGAGCATTGACATAAATCTGTGCCAATGAAAGCAAAATGTAATAGTATATGAGACTTTCATATCATTTTGTGTTGTGATCATTTCCATTTGCCTTTACCACTGTAGGTTTCAAATGCCTTATATGCCTAATGCTAAGTCAGTGTTATGCACATATTGTTTGTTTAAAAAAAATCGATGTGAGGTGCAATAAGTTTGATCAGATTCTGGACTACTTCCTATTTTATTGTAACAATTAACATTATTTAAAACAATTTTTTTTGTATATTTAAGAAAACAGTAGGTCCGTGAGCAGTGCTTTAAGTGTATTATTTTATGGAGATCTCGTCCGTAATGCCAACTTCCACAGTTCAGACTCTAAGGAGTCATGTTGTAACAACTGGCTGGTGCCTGTTAGTGCACTGTGCTCCTGTTTAAGCTTCTAACCTTCATTTGTGCTGCTGTTAAAAATCTGTAGATGCTATGTTGTGATATTTCTGACTCACGGTGGAAAACATGATAAGCATAGCCTTAACATTTGCTATAAATACATACTGTACATACTGTAGCTGAAATAGTTTTTGGTTTTTTTGACATTTCAACATTTTGAAGCATTTTCATTAAAAACCATAAGAACGGTTTCACAAAAAGCAAAGAGATTAGTGTATTAAATCGATAAGATAATCTAAAACCAGCTTTAGTAAAGCTTATGTCATAATTTAAGCATTATTGCATTTCTTTCTGCTATGTAGGGGAGGTTTAGTGGGTCATAGCTATGAGTGAGAGCCATTAAATAGTTTGTATTAGATACGATTAAAGTCCATGCTGGATCATCGTTAGAATGAAGAAAAGCTTACGCTCCATATTCAGGTAAAATGTTTGCTGCTGTGTATTTCGAGTCTTTGAGTAAAGGGGGTTAACTAGTTTTATAGACACTAACTTTAATTTGTGTTTACTTCATGCATGATGCAAAATTCTATAACTTCAGAGGTAAACTTTAACTTAATTTTGGGAGGGAGCTACAAAATAAAAGCCTACCGAAGTGTATATCTTGTAAATCACTGCGATAGATTTGCTTTATTCCACTGACTGAGTGAACGTTTTTATAAGCTATTGCTTTTTATGTTTAAAGTGCACATTGTTTTATGGAGAAGGTTAATTTTGTTTACCTTTTTTTTTTGATTCAATAAATACATTTTGTAATCAAGCAAAAATTTACCTGCTACTGTCTTTTGTTTTGATTATATAAATGAAAATATGTGCCCCACCTCTCAAATAGCAATTAGACAGATGTTAGGTTTAGCAGATGGCAGCATGAACCTTGCCCTGGAAAGCATCCCACCCCACCTCCCGATGTGTCTGTGCCATTCCCAGCACTGTGGTTCGCTGGAAGACTGTGGCTATCCTGCAGTCCTTATGAAACATATTGTAACCTCTCTGCCACGCCACAGATGAGCTACTATTCCGGGCAGCAGCTCATGGCCGTGACTCATCACTATGTGGTCACACAAAATTACTCTCAAAGAACTTGAACCTTTCCTGTATTCCTGAATCCTGAAACATTAGACTTTGTGCCGCTTCACTCCCCCCACCCCTCAGATGCAAATGCATGATGCAAACAGATTTTATTCCAAATTGAACTAGAAATGCATATTTTGTGCACGCACATCCTGGTTCGCCACAAGTGTCGTGTAAAAGCTAGCAGAATTTGAACACTGAGGCTTTTTAAATGCCTTCTCTCAAGGTGTTCCCAGACAGACAGGTTAATTGAAACTTTCACGGCGGAGAAAAAAATATCAGAGTGCAGAAGGGTGAGCTCGGCCAAGAGAGAGAGCAGTAAATTCCTGCTGGGACCACAGACTCTTTAGTGGGTTCGCATTCATGCTCGCTCTACAACCATTCTAATCCTCCTTACAAATATGTGAAAGGGTGTGTTTGAGTGGGTGGATGTCTGTGTGTCAGTGGGTGGGTTACTGCGGGTGATATTTTTGTTCTGAGCATGTACGTGTATTCGGGCTTGTGCCTTTGTTGCCGTTCCAAACCATTTTAACCAGCCTACCAACGTAAACAACCTCCAAATCAAGAATTACCAGAAGGTTACGCCACATAATCGAACAAAAATATAGTCATTCAGGTTTGACTCTGGTTCTTGATTTTATTCCTCATTGCTGGGTTTGTGTTTGTTAACCATTACATATTAATGGTAACATGTAGGCCTGAGCCTGTTAAGGGTTAGATTTCTGACAGCCTCCATGTTCACTAATGGAAAAGGGATCAAAGACAGCACAATAAGTTTAAAATAATAAAATAAATAGCTAATAAGTACTAACCATGGCCTTATGTCCCTCAAATAGTGGCCCATCCATAATCATGTGAGAAACTTTAATAAACGCTTCACTAATTGCCTGGGTGTATATTACCCAGCTTTGTTAGTTTCGACTCGGCGACTTATGAGTGATGGACACGCTGACTATCAGCAGGGGTTGCGCTCTTTTTGTTTTCCAGTGTTGGCTAGTCTACTATGTATCTGATCAATCATTTAAACAAAAGGCCTGAGTGAAGCTGAATGTCTGATGACGTAAAATCAGCACACTGTGTGTTTACTTTTTTCTCAAATGACAGACATAAAGCGAATGCTTTGTTGCATGCTTGTATGTCAGCGTGTGTAAGTGTGTGTGACTGGGTGGCTTCACAGTGTCTATTCTTTAAGTCCTGGCATATGCAAACAGCTCAGGACTGACGAGTTCTTGCAGTTCAGACTCTTATGGGGTTTTCCCATCACTTATGAAGCTATTCAAGCTTTATGTATGCATAAAAATGAACTGAACACTGGCTAATTCCTGGTGGAGACAGAAGGGGTGGGGCACTCATTTCAAGTTGTTCTCTTTGATGCATTACAGTCTGCCTAAAAAGTGTGTGTATGTTTTAAAGTAGTTAACAGCCTACATTACAAAAACACACAAGCTACGTTTGCAACACTGATGTTGCTTTCAATAACATAAACATGAGAAGCTCTTATGCAATATGGGGAAACTCAGAGGGGTGAAAACACACCAGTGCTGAGAGATAACTCAGAATAAGATCTGACCCTCAGTTGTGCAATTTACATACCTTCCAGCTACTGGTGTTTTTGTTTCAGATTGTGCTTGTCAGAGCACGGCTCTAATTAAAAGTGGAGTCCTTAGCTTTAGGCTGCAGGTGTATCACTTTAATAGCACTCTTTACATGCAGCCACCATGGTTCACTATTTCAGTCCTGACAAGTAATTTTAGACTTTAATCTGTAGGCCTAACACTGACATGCTGTACTGCTTCTTTTATTTCATTTCTTTATGTTTTGCTTCTAAAAAGCTAGACTTGTATTCTTGTATTTTTAAGGGATTTAGAGCAATAGCCCAGGCTTCAGTTTCAGCTTTCTAAGGGTCCATCCATCCATCCATCCATCCATCTTCATCCGCTTTATCCGAGGCCGGGTCGCGGGGGCAGCAGCCTAAGCAAAGAGGCCCAGACCTCCCTCTCCCCAGCCACCTCCTCCAGCTTATCCGGGGGAACACCAAGGCGTTCCCAGGCCAGCCGAGAGATATAATCTCTCCAGCGTGTCCTGGGTCTGCCCCGGGGCCTCCTCCCGGTGGGACATGCCTGGAACACCTCACCCAGGAGACGCCCAGGGGGCATCCTTGTCAGATGCCCGAACCACCTCAGCTGGCTCCTTTCGATGTGGAGCAGCAGCGGCTCTACTCTGAGCCCCTCCCGGATGGCCGAACTTCTCACCCTATCGCTAAGGGAGAGGCCAGCCACCCTTCGGAGGAAGCTCATTTCTGCCGCTTGTATCCGCGATCTTGTTCTTTCGGTCACTACCCACAGCTCGTGGCCATAGGTGAGGGTAGGGACGTAGATCGACCGGTAAATTGAGAGCTTCGCTTTTACACTCAGCTCCCTCTTCACCACGACGGACCGGTGCAGCGTCCGCATTACTGCAGCTGCAGCCCCTTTCTAAGGGTCTTTGACAGTTTTTCTTTGGACATTGACTGCTTTTTAACTCAACTGATATTTTTCAAAGGATTCTTTTTTGGTCAAGCCACTTAAAACTAACCGAGGAATCATTAAAGCATAAAAAGGCACTTAATCCTTAAAGGAACAAACCAGTGTTGTATCTATATATAAGACAACTTAGCACATAATCAATTTTGAACTTTATCTTTAGGTATTTCTTCATATTTCTTTAATTGAATCTACAGAAAATGCTAAATATAGCACAGTTTGACAGGCACCAACAAGGTGATTCTAAGAGCTATTAGCAGAAAAATTGGTATATCACAGCATGGTGTGCAGTGTGTTCTGCAAGTGGAGGACAAAAGCACAAGCGGCCAAAAAAATTATCTACAGCAGATGAACAGTATCTGAAAATCATGTCCTTTTTAAAAAAACAAACAAACAAAACAAAACAAAAAGCTTAAGCAAAGATCTGACACAGGCCCTACAGGTGATCCATTTACTCTTCACTGAAGCCTTATCAGTACTGGTCTCAGCAGAAGGGTGTCTGTCAAGAAGCAGAGAGAAAAGGCTGAGGTATGCCAAATCACACAAGAACTGGACTAAAAGTTCTTGTCATGGATTGGCCTCCCCAGAACCCAGATCTCAATATATCATGTGGAATCATCTTCATGGAGACCAGACCAAAAGGCAGCCAACATCCAAAGAAGAGCTTTGAATATCCTTCAAGAAGCCCATACAACTATTCATGAATGCTACTTAAAGAAATTACAGGAAAAAGAGAGATAGTTCAGGTTTGCTTAAAGAATAAAGGTGCTCATGTTAAATATTGACTTTCAGGCTCGTTGGAATTACAGAAACTCTGTTTTTGTCTTTTATTTTCATTCAATAAAGGGCACAAACGTTAGAGTCCCCAAACACAAGAAAACGAGCTACCCCGACAGCATGACGTTATGTCCGCACACAGCATTTCCGGCTCTATAATCCCCTCCGTGTGCTCCCTGACAGCAAGAACTGAACGCCAAGTTCTAGTGTAACATACATCTCCAGAAACCACGGGAACCCTCTGAACACGCCCTCCCCCACTTAGACCTGAACGCCGCATTAATCGGGTCTCTCGAGTGGGCGTGGTCTAATATAAATGGGAGGCGTCGTTTGCGAGGGTGTGTTTGTAAGCGTGCGCGTGTGTTAGAGAGAGAGAGTCCTCCCCTAGCCGCATGAGATGACGAGTGCCCTGCAGTCTTTACAGTCACTGTTTTTGCGTTCTCCTCTCCTCCTATGTCTCTAGCGGTTCACTCCGGAATGCTCACCAGCGTGTCCTGATCCAACGCTGTCGTCAGTCCCTTCATCTCCAGCCTGCCCCGGCTCTCCGTGTCCGTCGGCGTGTGAGGGTCGCAGCCTGCCCGAGGTGCTTTCGCTGTAAGGTGGGTGCATGTTTCCGAGAGCATGCTTCTCGTGCGTGTCATTGTGGACGTGTAGTAAAAGTTTAACGATGACACAAGCCATTATGAATGTTCGGGACATGTGCGGGACCTGCCTCCCTCTTTGACAACGGTGTGTCATTGAACTTTGGAAAGTTTATTCATTGCGCCGCTCTTCGGCAGTCACTTGAACTGACCATGTTGTAAACCTACAAGTGGAAAGCTTCCGCTGAAGATGCCCCAGGCTGGCCTGTCCTGAGGCGAACAGGCACGTCGAGAAGCCGTGCGTGAATCTCGTGCAGTGAATCTCGTGCATTTCCCAAACCTTTCTCTGCGTTTCTTGGCATTCCAGTTTGGAATTCCAGGAGCCTGCCTTGTTTGTAGTACTTTGACAGCAGTCTGCAGTGGCCCTTTAGCCTTCTTTGTATCCAGTAGGACTCCAGCTCCCCGTGTCCACCTCCCCCTCCTCCTCTTCTCCTTTACACCCTTCCCAAGAGTTTCACCACTCTCGCCTTATCTCTTTATCCCTTTTGCAGCATTTACTCCGGGAGAGGGGAGGGAGAGGCGTAAAGGAAGTTGTTCCAGGGATACTCTTGTTGCCCCATTGCAGAGGTTCTCAAAGTGGGCTCCTGGGACCCCAAATGGGTCCTTGAGTGGGTTCCAGGTGGTCCAGGATAAAGTGAGAGAAGTATTTTGTTTTTAATGGGTTGTAACAGGTGTCACTTTAGTTGGAAGAGGAATCAATAATGCTCTCAGAGGGTGTAAGCTTCAATCCAGGCTCCATTATAGAGGCTGCTTAGTGTGAAAATCTTTAGGCACCCCGT